ATTGTCTTATCACTGCTGGTCTAATATTAGCAGAAGAATAGATATATTCATCACCCAATGAGTGCCAAATAAAATTCTTCAAAGTTTGGGGTAGCGGCATCAGTTAAAGAACACAAATTTCCTTTCAAACTTCCAGCTGTGACTTACATCATAAAATAATGTGATGACTATGATCTCTTATTTCACTCATCTTTCTTATATGAGTATGGAGATCAACTTTCATTAACATAGCACTAGGAGCAACATTTTCAAATATTCCACAGTGTTGGAAATCTCATTAAAGCGGCCCAGTGCCATTGGTTTTCTATGCTCGGCATATATCCCAAAAGAACAAAACTTCTTGAAGAAAAAAAAAATCTCCCAAGTTTCTAAAAACAAGGAGCATTCTGGTTTTGTATTTCCCCACATGGCTTCCTGTGCTTGTTAAACAGCACCATAATCATCTGAACAAGGTGTCCGTTCTTAATGACAATGATGCCAACACATCAGTGCATGAGTCACAAAATTGCACACAAAAATGTAAGCGTTGGAGTTTGTATCATGACACACAACTCATCAGATATCATTCCCTCATTCAGATGAGACTATTTATCTGAAATTCTAAAGATCAAAATACTGAATTCCCTACTTTTTTTCTTCTTTCCTAAAGGTGAGCAGAAATTTTGTTTGGTTTCAATATTTTAATTAAATCTTAAAAAGTAAAGAACTTTTGTAAAAAAACACGATCTCTCCATGTATTAAAGATGATTGCAATTACATTGGTTGCAGTTCCATTTACATATTGTTGTTATTATTATTGCTAATCCCATATCAAACTAAAATGGGTCCTTGGTAGCACTTTTTAATTCAGCTAGAAGTAAATGCAATTATGTATAGTGTGTGTTTGTGTGTGTGTGTGTGTATCAGTACATATAGAAGTGTATGTATATATGTGTGTGTATGTTTTCTGAGGTTTTCACGGGTGTTTGTATGTAGGTCTTTGGTTATTCGGGTTTTCTCCTGCGTAAAATGCCAAGACACTTCCAATTTTACATGGGAGAAAACCCGAATAACCAAAGACCTACATATTATATATGTATGTATGTATGTATGTATGTATGTATGTATGTATGTATGTATGTATGTATATGTATATATATATGCAAAAAATTAAAATCTCGGGTGTTTTCCCGTGTCATTATAAATAAGTTGGTTAAAATATTTAAAATCCTGGTTAAAATCCCAGCTTAAAATCTTCTAAAAATCCTTACAGAGCACTCTGCAAGGTCTTTTAAAACCTCAGCTAAAATCCTACCAGTGACCTTAAAAGTTTTTCTTAAAGCAACGTTTCGACAGGCTCACAACTCTGTCATCTTCAGGCTCTGTTTCATGTAGAAGCTATGGGTTCTCTGTTGCGGGGCCGGAGCTGTCGCTTATCTATATTTGCTGCTGCTGACGTATGCTGGCTAGCCTGCAACTCTGTGTTCCGATTGGAGGACAACAGTTTTTCTTCCTGCTTCCTCCTCCTAGCTGCTTGGCTTCGTGTTACAGGCCCAGCTTTCTCAGATTCTCTATTATTATCTGTCTGCTGTAGAGGGGAAAGGATTCTGGTAGGCATCACAGCACCCTTGATTGTTAGTTGAGATCTCAGCCTATCTTCTGGCTCGATCCTCTCTCTCTCCCCATTGCTAGCCACCCTCTGCAAAGAAGGAAGAATTCTGGCAGGCCTTACAACACCACTGGTTGCTTGTTGGAATCTCTGCCTCTCTTCTGATGTTAACACTCGAGTTTCTCTCAGTGCAGGTCCCCAAATACTTGATCACCTAAAGGTGTCGTCTCGTCTGTTCATATTCTGCGGCCTCTTTTCAATGTCGATGGCCTCCTTTTCGAAACGTTCCAGAGATCGTGATGTCTATCGCCTCTTATATATATATATATACATACATACATACATACATACATACATACATATATATATATATATATATATATATATATATATATGAATATATATCACTACATATAGAAAACCATAAGGAAAGCGGACAGTCAAAGAATTGAGGCCTTTGAACTATGGTGCTGGAGAAGACTCCTGCGAGGCCCTTGGACTGCAAGGCGATCAAACCAGTCAGTCCTAGAGGAGATCAACCCTGATTGCTCTTTAGAAGGTCAGATCCTGAAGATGAAACTGAAATACTTTAGCCACTAATGAGAAGGAAGGAGTCACTGGAGAAGAGTCTAATGCTGGGAATGATTGAAGGCAAAATAAGAATGGGATGGCAGAGAATGGGGTGGCTGGATGGAGTCACTGAAGCAGTTGGTATGAAATTAAATGGTCTCCGGGGGATGGTAGAGGACAGGAAAGCCTGGAGGAAAGTTGTCCATGGGGTCGTGATAGGCTGGACACAATTTTGCAGTTAACAACAACAACATATAGAATTTCCTAAAGGAAATCAACCCTGACTGTTCTTTGGAAGGATGGATACTGATGATCAAATACTTTGGCCACCAAATGAGTAGAGAGGACTCATTGGAAAAGAACCTGATATTGGGAAAGATTGACAGCGAAAGAAGAAGGGGATGGCAGAGGATGAGTTGGTTAGACTCATGAATTTGAGCAAACTCCAAGAGACAGTGGAAGACAAGGGGGCCCAGTGTGCTATGGTCCATGGGGTTGTAAAGAGTTGGACATAACTTAGCAACTGAACAACAACATCATCATATAATGACAGGGAATGCCTTATTTCAGGGAATATTCAAGGAATGACATCCCTAAGCATCCAAATACACTTTCAGTAGAGTCTAGTAATCCTCTAACCCAGGGGTGAAATCTACTTATCTTCCTTACCGGTTTGGAAGTGCACTTCCTTACCGGTTTGGAAGCGCTCGTGTGCTTGCTTTGCTCACATGTGTGTACACGGCACGTGTGCATGTACACCTTCTGTGCATGTGCAAAACCTTCTGTGCATGCACAGAAGGTAAAAAACATTACTTCCTGGTTAAAACCAGGAAGTAATGACACCCAGGCAGCGATCCTTACAAGATCACTGAACCACAGGGAAAAATCACTACCGGATTGGGTGATCCGATCCAATCTGGGAGCATTTCATCCCTGCTCTAACCACAGCCTTCCCTTGAGCAGGGAAATCAACTATAGCCTGAATCACATGTACAGTTAATTTTGGAACTCAAGGGCTATGATTCAAATCTGTATTTAAAATTTGATAGGGAACTAGGGGGCTGTTATTTATTCCATGGCTGTCATGTCAACTTAGATTTACCCTTATATTATGTTGAGACCATTATTTTTTCAACGTTCTAAATACCATCTCTTAGTAAGCAGATTCTAAAATGGAAGAAATTGAAGGAAGCTGAGTCACATGGCTGCTTTCTTAACATCAAGCAGAATGTCAAGTGTGTCTCAGTCAGAATCACAACAAAGTTTGAAAAGTTAAGTGTCAAATCACGGCCTCTCTGCTTGAAGCCTAGGAAAAGTAAAGGAGCATTTTGTCCGGAAAGATCATTTGATCCTAGAATTTGACAGCAGGCAGTGGATTTAGGGATAAAGTGAAAAGCAGATATACAAAGTTATGAATATTTTCAGAGAACAGATAGAATATATTGATATTTTTAGGATGCTTAGTATTTCTGTGACAGATTATTGAAGGTTCTCTGTACAATTACTTTTTCATACTTACCCTGAATGACAGAAAAAGAAGCCATGTCCTCTCATAAACACTAATTCATAAAAGCTTCTCCTCTTTCTTTAGAACATTACTACCATACAGTCTCCCTTTCTCCTTCCTCCTTCAGTTACACTAAAAACAGATTCAGACAAAGTATGAATTTCAAAACCCCACTTTCTGGGCAGAAGCTAGGAAGGCATTAATGAATAAGTATGTTTAAAGCAGTAAGTTATATTAAATAACAGGAAAAAAAATGAACCCCTACAGAATGTGTATGAAGAGAGCTAGTACCAAAGTAGAGGTAAAATAGGAATATCTACCTTGTTAATTAACCATGTTTAAGGAGAAGAAAAAGATAAGATGGCACTTTACGTACAGTTGATAATGGTTTTTCTGCACTGCAGTGGGGTAGAGATAGATTACCACCCCAATGATTATATGTTTAATATTACTCAATAGATAAGACAGTCAATGAATTGAGAAGCAAAGGCAAGTAAAATGAAAAAGCAGCCAAGAAAGATTACACTTTTTAAAACCAAGAAGGAACGATATGTCTTGTTTAATGTAAGTGGTGAAAAAATATGAGAAAAGAGGGAAAAAATCTGAAGCAGGAGTAATGCAGACTAGAAGCCAAGTGGCACTCTGGTTGGGGGAATAGGTTAGTGGTTTGAAAGGATGCAGAGGAGATCAAAGGCTGAAGGAAGGAAGAACCAGATAATGAGGGAGGAGTAACTTCTGACATGATGCTTAAATTCTTGTTCAATTATTCAATCCTATAGCTCGTACGGAAACCTCAGAAAATACATCTGAAGGTTTCTCTCTTACTGTGATCCAAGTTGAATGAGCAAATGTTATAGTGAAGTCAGTATGAAGAAGCTTAACAATGATATTCCCTCCTCAAGGCTGCCATTTTCATAGTTTCTGAATAGGGATCCAGTGCTGTATTAATAATAAGTGTAGCAGGGATGGGTACTATTTACTTTTACTACCGGTTCGCAATGGGATCACTCATGTGCGCTCATTTCGCTCATGCATGCGCCTTGCTTCAGATTGCCAATGATGACATCCGAGGCAGTGGGCAGGGCCTCCCGCTGGTTTTACTACTGGTTCTCATGAACCGGTCTGAACTGGGGGCAATACACCACTGAAGTGTAGACAAATGCACATCATTTGTCTACAAATGATCATTTCTCAGCTTATGCTCAGTTACATATATTTTCCTTAACATAACAAGCTTTAAAATGCCTTTTAAAGCCAAAGTTTATTTTGGAATGAGAATGGGAGAGGAGGGAAAATGTGAAATCCAAATTCTTACAAATTAGGTCTTGAAACACATTTGTAAATTATGTGTTTTATTGTTTACAGTGAGTGTAGGGTATTAAAACCTACTGTCAGGATAAAACTTCTTTTGTGAGTCCAATAAAATAATCTTTAACCAGGGCAGTTTCTTCATTTGCCATTTGTACTTCTACTTTAATTCTTTTCTCTGTCTTACAGTCCATAATTTTCATTTATTTTCCTATGCTTACAAATTCTTTATATTTTGGTATTTCTACACCAGGCAAAACTTGTTCCATCTCTTGTAAATCTTCCAAAATGTTCTCTTTCACATCAGTAATTTCTGCTTTAATGTTTTACAACATAATCTGTACACAGAAGGATGCATCATTGATGAGACTGAAGCTGCTATTTTTTTCATCGTATTTTTCAAAAATCTCCTGCAATAGAATATTTCAAATGTCAAAGTGTTTTCTGTCATTTTCCAGGTTCCAATGCTGACTAACAAGAGGGCTTTTCCCCTTTTACTTTTCTGCTTTGAATCTATAGTCCCCGCCAGTGTTCAATTTCTGAAATAATGTCTCAAGTTGCTGTTTTGATTTAAGTTTGTCTAAAACAATTTGGTTCCCATGAATGAGCTGTTCATTTATATAATTATTTCCAAAATATTGTAGCAAAAGTCATACTGTTCCATTATTTAAACTGGTCTTTAATTCATTTGCAACTTTCTCAAATTAGATACTTAGCTTTTTGCAATTTATTTCTAATTTTTAAATTCTTAAGCTTATAGTTAATGTTTCTTTTACTCAAGAATGAAAGTAAATTTACCACATAGATTTTCAATCTTGTCATTTTGAGATTCTCTAATGCCCTTAAGGCAGTGGTGGGATTCAGCCAGTTCGCACCACTTCGGGAGAACCGGTTGTTAACTTTCTTTGCAGTTTGGCAAACTGGTTGTTGGAAGAAATCATTAGGACAGAGAACCGGTTGTTAAATTACTTGAATCCCAACACTGCCTTAAGGTAGTTGAATAGCATTTTCCAAAAGTGATTAGAGAGCAAATTAGCAACCCAATTTTATTTTTATTTATTTATTTATTTATTTGTATCCTGCCTTTATTATTTTTACAAATAACTCAAGGCAGTAAACAAATCCAACACACCTTCCTCCTCCTATTTTCCTGACCATGACAACTCTGTGGGTGAGTTAGCCTGAGAGAGTTGGTCTGAGAGAGTGACTAGCCCAAGATCACCCAGCTGGCTTTTATAACTAAGGTGGGACTTGAACTCACAGTCTTTGGCTTTCTAGCCTGGTATCTTTACCAGTAGATGATGATGGTTGAGAGCATGATGGTTCCCTCCATCTCCTGGTATTTAAATCTGTGGCAAACAGTGGGTCTTGTAGTCTCCATCTGAAGTAGCCATCTGGAACACAAGTTGTAGATCTTCTCTCCTTATCTGGAAAGGTTTTGTGGGACCAGTCTACTCTCCAATGCTTTGGTCTTAGCCACAGTGATCATCTCTGTTCATTCAGGTATGTCTTATTTGTCATTATTTGTTACCTGGAAACTTATAAAGGAAGGCATTTTAAGTGTTCTTAAGTATAATTGCTTTTACACTATTTCAGAATGTACATATCAAGGTTATCACAGATTTGCAATTAAAAAATAAAACTCTAATAGAAAGTTCATCTACTGTCAGCCCCTCCCAGGTAAATCAGACAGGAAACACAAGATGAACCCATTCTACTTTTTTTATATAAGGCTACATTAAGGGAATCTTGCAAGTCTGAAGGCCCAAACTTTCTACTTCCACTTTTAACTATCTGATCCATTAGGGTGGGTCTTTTCTAAGTCTTTTTTTTTTCTGTGACAATTAAGCAACTATGAGCTCCTTCCTCTTTGTTTGTTGTCTTGTCTGATTGTTTCCTAGGTAGCATCTTCTCTTCTCTTTCCCCAAGGTCATCCATACATTCCATTCCATCTGCTAATGCATTGACAGTGAGCTTCAGTACTTAATACATCACGTTTCTAACTAATAGCAAAGCACCCTTATTTTAAAATGAAGAAAACGATTAATTTTTGCTACCTTCGTGAAATGTTTGCAGAATGGAAAGAAAGTTTTGAAATAAATATATCCCACTTGAGAAGCTTCTCTTCTTACTTTATAAATGAAAACTATTCATAATTATGTATTTCTAGGAACACACACACACTCTGACTTTTCATTCTCCTCAGGCATTTCTCCTTGGGTGATTCTCCCAGGACTTATCTTCTCAGCTGGCACACCTCCAGTCATTTGCCCTGGGGAATAGGCCACCGGCCCCTTTGTCCCAAACCCTTCGACACGGCCCATTCGCAGAAAGAGGGCTCGTCCTGGGTGTTCCACCTCTGTTTAAGTTTAAGTTTAAGTTTATTAGATTTCTATACCTCCCTTCTCCCAAAGGACTCAGGGTGGTGTACAGCCATATTAAAACACATATATTTATAAAATTTAAAAACAAATTAAAATCAATATATAAAATTGGCCTGCAAATTTAAAACACACATACACCCATAATAAAATTCATATTAGGCCAGTCCGGCTTGCTGGAACAGGAAGGTCTTAAGGGCGTGGTGAAAAGTACGTAGGTCAGGGCTAAGATGGAGCTCTAGGGGCAGCTCATTCCAGAGGGCTGATGCCCCCACAGAGAAGGCTCTCCCCCTGGGTGTCACCAGTCGGCATTGTTTGGCCGACGGCACCCTGAGGAGCCCCTCTCTGTGGGAGCGTATTGGCCAGTGGGAGGTTGTTGATGGCAGAAGGCGATCAGTGACCTGTGACCTGCTAACTGTCACAGTGATCTGTGACAGTTAGCCCCCAACCAATTGGCTAGAGGGGGTGTAATAGAAATCCAGCCAAAGGAGAGGGATGTAAAAGAATTTGCCAAAATGCCTGCCTTCTTTCCTTCCTCTTCCCCACCCCACCAATACAGGGAGGAACAGTTGGTTTACTCAGAGGTAAGTCTCACTAAATTCAATGCTAGAATTTCAGTGCGAAATATTTGCCTAGTATTTCAAATGGAACAGTTGGTTTACTCGGAAATGAGAATTCTTTAGAGGACATCCAGCGAAAGGAGAGAGGTGTAAAAGAATTTTCCAAAATGCCTGACTTCCTTCCTTCCTCCCTCCCTCCCCCCTCCACTGTTACTGAGTGGGCTAAAGCAATGGCTCCGCTGGATGGGCGACTGGGTAGGGCACTTTCATTCCTCCCAACCCAGCGTGTGAAATGCTGCGCAGCCTCTCCCTTTTGTCTCCAGAGAGGTGGGTGGGGGAGGGATGGAGATAGAGAAGAGGGGGTGGGTTAAGCAAAGTGGAGAAAATGTGTCTTTCAGCGAGGGCAATTGAGATCGCTAGGATATCACTTTCGGGTGGGGTGAGGGTGGGGGTGGGTGATGGAAGAGAGGAGACGCATTCCCTGAGTGGTTTACAACACCAGCATATTGTTCCCACTCCAACAATCCTCATTTTCTGTAGAATTCAGTTCCCCAAAACAATGCCCATCTTCTTTTATTTTATTTTATCCCCCCCCGCCACCACAATAGCCTGGTCTCCAGTTCAGAAGAGGAACCAACTGCTGTCTGGAGTGTAATCAAGTGAAATGGCCTTTTATCTCTGCACCTGCCTTCCTTTCCTTTTTCACAGACACACACAGACACACACACACAACCTTCACTCCACCCCTCTAGAGCTCCACGCCTCTAGAGGAGCCTCAAACATGGCTAGTTGCCATGTTATGCTGTTATGGTGGGTGGGTGGGTGGGTGAGTGGAGGGGGGGAGGGAGGGAGGGAGGGAGGGAGGGAGGAAGGAAGGAAGGAAGGAAGGAAGGAAGGAAGGAAGGAAAAATTCTCTTCTATTGGACTCTTCTAAACTTGGTTAACTAACTGGTTGGAGGGAGGGAGGGAGGGAGGGAGGGAGGCTTTTAGCCCGCTCAGTAACAGTGTCCCTGTATTGGTTGGCAGCAGGGAAGAGAGAGAGAGGAAGGAAGGAAGGAAGTCAGGCATTTTGGCAAATTCTTTTACACCTCTCTCCTTTCACTGGATTTCTATTAATTGTCCTCTAAAGAATTCTCATTTCCGAATAAACCAATGTTCCATTTGAAATACTAGGCAAATATTTCACACTGCAATCCTAGCATTGAATATAGTGAGACTTACCTCCGAGTAAACCAACTGTCCCTCCCTGTATTGGTGGGGTGGGGGGGGAGGAAGGCAAATTCTTTTACACCTCTCTCCTTTGGCTGGATTTCTATTACACCCCCTCTAGCCAATTGGTTGGGGGCTAACTGTCACAGAGGGTGGAACACCCAAGACAAACCCTCTTTCTGCGAATGGGCCGTGTCGAAGGGTGTGGGACGAAGGGGCTGATGGCCCATTCCCCAGGGCAAATGACTGGAAGCTTGCCAGCTGAGGAGATAAGTCAGGGGAGAATCATCCGAGGAGAAATGCCCGAGGAGAATGAAAAGTCAGAGACTAAAAGTCCCATTCTGTCTGACATAGATTATATACTTTTTTCATTGGCATCTCTGATTTTAAGTTCTGTATCATCCATTTACAAACCTTTCTTCTATAGACATGCTTTTTCAAACAAGCAGGGGAAGGAGGAGGGAAACAAGCAACTTTCTAGCTAATTTGTTACAGACTACTCTATCAGGACCTAATTACAATGGTAGAGTCCGGAAATAGATTCCATTCCCTGTACATTACTAATGCTCCTCAAATCCTCATTTATCATGTTGAAGGTTATGTAGAAATGATGTACAAGAAGCCCAAACACTTTTATTGCAATCATTCCCACAGTACATATCTGTAAGAGGCAAACTTTTTAAATCCCTGGGTAATGTCAAAATTAAAATATCATTCAGATGGGATTACACAGAAAGTACAAAGTCTGAAAGAAAAAAAAAAGACCCTAAAGATAAAAACAGAGTCCCAAATCATAAATTATAATTTAAAGAAATCTTGTTTAAGCAGATACAAACTAAAATACTGGAGCATGAACTGTCATGTACCCAGCATTGACCTTTCTACAAAATTTATATAGTGCTACAGCGACACTTGGGATAGATAGTGTATTCAGGCTCCACAGCAAGAGATCTCACCCCTACCATCTCCTGCAGCTCAAAAGGATGCCTTCAGTTCTTTTCCATCAGATTGGCTTGGAGGTGGTCTACTTGCTTGACAGTTTTATGATAAAGTGCCTGAATGAAACACAACTGCTTTAGGAGAGACTATAGGCCAGCAGTAGATTTTGGCCTGCTATTCTTTTTTCTTCAGAGTGATGTCCTTTCTGTGTTCCCTGCTAACATTATTCACTGAATAAGCTCAGCTTGCTCCTACTCTTCCTTCCTTCAGCCGGTTTCTCCTTCACCCACAAACATATACACAGACTCCAGAAAGGGCTTACAAAAGAAATGAGACTATAAAGTAAAACACAGCATCTAAGCTTCTTTACAAAAAGAGCATGAAGCACATTTAAGAAGTTAGTCCTACCTTCACATCTTCAGCCCAACACATGAACAGTAATAAGCAGTTTCTCTTCTTTCCTTAGCCACATTGATTATATTATAAAGAAACACAGTCACAGCTGCCTCTATAACAGAGGTGGGTTTCAGCAGGTTCTGACCAGTTCTGGAGAACTGGTAGCAGAAATTTTGAGTAGTTTGGAGAACGTTAGAAAAATTCTGACTAGCCCCACCCCCATCTATTCTCTGCTTCCCAAGTCCCAGCTGATTGGGAGGAAATGGGGATTTTACAGTAACCTTCCTCTGGATTAGGGAGGGAATGGAGATTTTACAGTATCCCTCCCCTGCCACGTCCATCAAGCCATGCCCACAAGCCATGCCACACCCACCAAGCCACACCCACAGAACCGGTAGTAAACATTTTTGAAACCCTCCACTGCTCTATAACTAGAGATTCCAAAGGCTCCTCAACATTCCTCACTTGTTGGATGGAGCACCTAAAGGTAGCATCTGAGTCTCACATCAGACCAAGCCAAACTGAAAAACTCATTGGAAGTATTTAAAATGGTCATCTTTTCTCCCCAAAAAAAGTATATGAAGAAGTTGCTTGTAGCTGCTTCCCTTCTTCCTATATCTTTAGATTGATCATGATACGAAGCAGAGTCAATGTCTCCTTTCCCTTCCACACTAGAGTGTAGCAGCATCAAAAAGCTCCTTGTAAACATTCATCAAAGTGTAAGTAAAGTAACAGCAGCACTATGAATTGAAACCCAAGTAGTCACTATTTGCCCAGACCACACACATGAGTAAATTATGTCACACGCCACACAATCAAAAGATCCTGTTGTCTTTATGCATCATTGAGTGCATTGCATGAGATCCATTGAGTAGAAGTGGAGGAGGAGGAGAAAGTGGAGAGAAAGAAGCTGTTTTTCCTATTGTTCTTTGTTGGATTCAAGCTGACAATTGTCTTCATTGATTGCAAAGTGAGAGGAAAGTAAGAAAACAATAACTGGGAGACTGCGTAAGATTGGTGATGCAAAGTGATTTTAACCTAATTTAGTCGGCAGGGGTTTGGACTAGAACAGGGGTCTCCAACCTTGGCAGCTTTAAGCTTTGCTGGCTGAGGAACTCTGGGAGTTGAAGTCCACAAGTCTTAAAGTTGCCAAGGTTGGAGACCCCTGGAGTAGAAGATCTCCAAGGTCTCTTCCAACTGCTATTCTATATTCCAGTGACGTCTAACCTTTTTGCCATCGCATGCCAAAAGTGGGGGGATGGTGGGGTCACATGCACGCGTGCCCACATGCATAATTCTATGTGCCCTGCTCCCCCGTGCTCCCCCCGCTTTTGGCACATGATGGCACGGTGGGCCCGGTAGGCCCGTTTTTTGTTCTCCCCAGGCTCCAGAGTCTTTCTAGGAGCCTGGGGAGGGCAAAAACGGCCTTTCCCCCCCCCCCAGAGGCCCTCCAGAGGCTGGAAACTCTGTGTTTCCTGACTTCTGGTGGACCCAGAAGGTCCGAAAATCAGCTGGCTGGTGCACACATGCATGCCAGAGCTGAGCTCGTGTGCCCACCGATATGGCTCCGCGTGCCACCTGTGGCACCCGTGCCATAGGTTCGCCATCATGGCTATATTCTATCAGCTAGGGATCTCACCAGTTGTCAGTGCTCCAAAAATCTTCCAATAAAACAAGGGAAATCTAATATTAGAGTCTACAAAAGTAACAGATAATAAATTTGTTGGAAATAAGATCAATACAATTTTTCTTTCTGCTTTTGTGGCAAAATTTCCCCTTTCTCTGTCAGGATATCAACTCTCTCTGCACCAAAACATGATGAAGAAATGAAGGAAAAATAACAATGGGAAGATGTAAATTGGGATGTATAATTCATGAATATTCCAGTTAGAAATTGCTAGATTTTTTATGCTTATTACAAAGAATAACAAAGGAATTGATATGTTTTCCATTCTGTGATGACAAAATCAATGCCACCTTCATCACTGTTTGTAGCATTTGCCTAAGCTTATGAAATTATTATTGTGTTCTCATGAACCTAAAGATTCCTTGGCTTTTTCATCACCAGCAAAAATTCTATGTTCGTGATCTATTGAAGAAGTTGAAGCAATTAGGTGGATACTCACAGTAGTAAATTAAATGAATTGAATTTTTTTTCATATAAAAAGATCCAGAAAGATAATTAGCTACAAAAGGGCAGCAAATCAATACT